GTATTAATGCTCCATTTATGAACTCCATCTCGTCGTTATTAAAGCCTGTGCTTCTGGCCCAGGATAAGGAGTGATTCTAGTGGGAAAATTTCAGTGATAGACTTCAATAGTTAGAGCAGTTCTTGTTGGTATTCTCTAGTTCTTTCCTGCCTCGTGACTTTACAGGTAACCATTGCTTCCCATGGGATCCCAGGAATAGGAAACAGTATCAACCTAAGTGCTCAAGCAATGGACATGGAGAGCCAAGCAACTTACATCAATTGGTTTAGTGGCAATTTTGAGGAAAGAGGAGGTAGTGATTTTGGGGGGAAAATTCATAATCAAATGCATGTGGGATATTGAGAGAGAAAGAGGGCACAGGAAAGTCAAACGGAGGCTAGCCAATCCATTTCTGACGTATGTGACTGGTTGTTTCTTGAGGTGATGCACTTTAGCAGGGAACATGGGAAGTCAAGTTTAAGGGACCGTTTGGTTTTAGAATGATATCTGTATATGTTAGACTTCTCATTTCTGTGACAACTTCAGGCAGGATTTCAAGAAGAAATCAGAGGGCTGGGGAGATGGCTCAGCAGTTAAGAGTACTGGCTACTCTTCCAGAGGTCGTGAGTTCAATGCCCAGCAACCACATGGTGGCTCACAACCATCTCCAGTGGGGTCTGATGCTCTCTTCTGGTGTGTCTGAAGACAGCTAAAGTGTACTCATAAATAAAATAATCTTTTTTTTTTTAAAAAAAAAAGAAGAAATTAGGGGTATCCCGACTGTGAACATCAAACCAGAAATTCCCGAGGTGACTAAGGCTGGAGGGATTTTGGTTCTATGGGTGACTAAGGCTGGAGGGATTTTGGTTCTATGGCTCCTAGTCCTGGGTGAGGCAGAAAGGTATGGTTGATAAGGGTGACCATGGTGGAAGGATATGGTGGACGAAGCACAGCATGGTGGAAAGGTGTAGCGTGGCTGAGCAGAGCTGCTCATTTCATGGCAGGCGGGAAGCAGGATATCGGAAGGCCAAGAACAAAGTTCCTGCTCTCAGTGACCCACTTCCTCCAACTAGGCCCTACCCTCCACAGTTCCACCCCTCCCAGTAGTCTTTTGCTTGTTTTGTTTTTTTGAGACAAGGTATCTCTGTGTAGGCTCAGCTGTCCTGGAACATTCTCTGTAGACTAGGCTGGCCTTGAACTCAGAAATCCACCTGCTTCTGCCTCCCAAATGCTAAGATTAAAGGTGTACGCCACCACTACACTGTAGCTGGTTTACATTGTGGGTTCTTCTTTCTTCAGCCCTTCTCCACCCTTTTTTTTTTTCACCCTTTCAACCCACCAACACTAGATAAAGGAGAAAAAAGAAAGAGATCCCTGGATAAAGTCAGGGGTCAGAAATGGGGTGACATTATCATTAGATTACTTCTTGTTGTTTAAAGGCAGCCTAGTTCCTTGGGGCAAGTTTGATCTTTGCCATCAGGATATCTAATTTCTTCTTGTTTCTTCTTTGCATATAGCTAATTAACAAACTGTGATCAATATCAACCAACAACCCACCAGGTTTCTAGCATCTATATACCCTCCAAAAAGTCCCCAGAATTCCAAACATCACAAAATCCAGGAAACCAGCTGGCAAAATCACATCCCCACCACAGCGGGAGGGAAACCATAGTCAGCTGCTGTTACAGCTGAAGCAGCCCCATATTCCAACACCAAGACATCATAAGGTATTTTTGTGTTTTTTTCTTTTTTTTTCGAGACAGGGTTTCTCTGTATAGCCCTGGCTGTCCTGGAACTCACTCTGTAGACCAGGCTGGCCTCGAACTCAGAAATCCACCTGCCTCTGCCTCCCAAGTGCTGGGATTAAAGGCGTGTGCCACCACCGCCTGGCTTATTTTTGTGTTTTTTAAAGAAGCCAAAATCCCAAAATTGTCACTACACCATCTGGCTCCCAGTAGTCTATTAAAACCTGGGCTCCACAGTGGATTAATCCACATGAGCTGAAAGCTCCTCTTCTGAACATTGCTTCTCCTGGAGGCCAGGCCTCCAGTACAGGAAGCTTTTGAGGCAGACACTTCATATCTAAAGCATAGCACTAAGAGAATGATGAAGGCCCAGGAGCAGCTTGCTCCTCTTCAATGTGAGGCTCTGAGGAAAGGCCACATTCACTCTCTTTAGAAGAACCGAGGCTCACGCATCGGCCTTAAACTATTGCAGGGTTGTATTTGTTTTTGCTTTGATTTGCTGTGTTGCTCTGGCTGACTTTGAACTCCTGGTAGTCCTCCTGTCTCAACTTCCCACGTGGTGGTATTAGAAACTACACCATATAATGGTTCTTAATTTTTTTTTTGGAGCAGGGGGTAGTGCTGGAGGGGGTAGGTGCTCACAGACCTCTTGAGAAAATAATAATCTAGTAGAGTTTTTTTCCCCTTCTAGGAAACATGTACTGTTTATATGCTTTTCAGTGGTTTGTACACTTTCTGGAAACTAGTCCAGATGCCTCTTAAATTAAGAGCTTGATGCTGGGTTCGGTGGCGACACACACTTTAATCTCAGTACTCGGGAGGCAGAAACATGTGGATCTCTGCGGATTGAAGGCCAGCCTGGTCTACAGAGTGAGTTTTGGGAGCCTCTGGTGCATAAGGCCAGAAACTGGGAAGAAGAGGAGCCAATGACCAAAACAGCCAGAGCAGGAAGGACAATGAACTGTCTTCATCCTGAAGCCCCACCCCTCATGTGGCCCCATCTAATCAAGTATTAGTTGGCTGCATCTGTGTGGGCTTCCTTCTTTCTGGACATGCCATTCTGTACTGTTTGTCTTTTTCATTGCCAATACTCTAGTGTTCATTGTAGTTTTCCAGTGTCCTGAGAATATTTGAAAAACATGTACATATATGTATATCATACATACACACACGATAAATAATGAATACAACTTAATAACAAAACAATAGCAACAACCAGAAACTTAACAAAGACTTTGACTTCAGTATTCAATACTGCACTGGTTATCTCAGGTCTTTTATAATAAAACCTTCCCATTTAAAATGTAGATGTTACTTTGTTGATATCCACAAAATAGCTTGCCAGGATTTTGATTGGAATTAAAGTTAGAACTGACATCTTGAAATTTTTATAAGTAAAGAATGTGTCTTGAAAATTTCATGCCTGAATACAGTGTCTGGTTTGTCCTCCATTACTCCCTTGTTCCCACCCTTTCCTGCTGGTCTCCTTTCCAACTGACCCTCCTCTGATGGTCATATCTTAATAAATCCCACTGAGTTTCACTAGGGTTGCCTGCATGAGCAGAGGGGGGTTCTTAGTAATGTGTGGGCAACTTACCAGTGTTACACTAAGACTGACTCCTGTTCCTCTGGGAACACATTAACTGTCAAAAGTTCAAGGATGGGTAGGACACTGAGAACACTTCCCTCATCTATGAGGGAATCTTCATGGGTGTCCTGTCTTATGTAGGATTGTGCAGGTATCCACATTTGCTGAGTTCCTGGGTGCAGAGGTCAGAATATCATCACACCCCTCTTCATCTGATTTCCTCTTGTGATATTCCCTGTGCCTTGGATTGGGAACTACAGATGTTCTGTTTAATCTGGGTGTTCAACAATCACTCACTATTAGCTATTTATTAAAAATATAAGAAGAGAAATGGGCCGGGCAGTGGTGGCGCACGCCTTTAATCCCAGCACTTGGGAGGCAGAGGCAGGTGGATTTCTGAGTTCGAGGCCAGCCTGGTCTACAGAGTGAGTTCCAGGACAGCCAGGGCTACACAGAGAAACCCTGTCTCGAAAAAAACAAAAAAGAGAGAGAGAGAAATGAAAATAGGAAACTGGAACTCAACTATATCAGAATAAAATAAGGCTGCCTGGACAAAGAAATAATCAACAGTTATTAGGACCAACTATAGAATGATAGGAAATATTTGCAAAGCAAACTCTGTGTGTGTGTGTGTGTGTGTGTGTGTGTGTGTGTGTGTGTGTGTGTACACGTGTACACAAAGTGGTTAATGTACAAAGTATCAGCCACCATAAATAGGATAAAACCCAACAAACCAAGTAATACAATTTTAAAATGGTCAAAGAACAACTTATAGGTGTCCAAGAGGCATATAGAAGGCTCAAGATAACTGGGAAAACACAAAGCCAAATGATACAATATATCATCTCATCTGTTAGGATGGCCATTATTACCAGAAAAAGGAAGGAAGGAAGGACAGATAGACGGCTGAATGGACAGACAGCAAATGTTAATAAGGACGAGAGGCTGGTGAGTTGCTACTGTGCTTGCCCTGGCAACCTGAGGGCTTTGCTCAGAGTTGCTCAGAGTTGCTCAGATAGTCGCTAATTTTGACTGTCAGTGTGATTGGTGTTGCAAAGTGTCCTGGAGATTAGTACCTCTCTCCTTAGTTTCTGGAGAGAAAAGGGTTGACATTAAACACAGTTTAATGTACTATTTGGCAGGTGGGGAGCCCAGTGGGATTGGGCATTTCTCTCTCTGCTCCCTGGCCTCCCATGGTGTGAGCTGCCCAGTTCCACCACAGTCTTCCCACCAGGAAGGACTAGAACCTTTGACATACTGAGCCATAAGAAACCTTTGAAACCTTTGACCTACTGAGACATATGAGACTTTTCTTCCTTTTCCATTTTCGGTCAGATATTTTGTCACAGCAGCAAAAGTCTGATTAACATATGCAGATAACCATGCTATTAAAATGTGGGTGATGACTGTCCAGGCAGGACAGTAACATGCATAAGCCAGGTGTGGTGATACATGCCTTTAGTTCCAGCACTCAGGAGGGAGGCAGGTGAGTTTGAAGCCAGGCTGGTCTACAAAATGAGTTCTAGGACAGCCAGGGCCACACAGTGCCACCCTGTCTCGAAAACCCAGGATAAACAAGAAAAGAAAGAAAACATGCACAAAACTCCTCTGACTTGTAGCGTGCTGACTAGTAACGTGCAGCAAGGCCTTAGAGCAGATAGTAGATTAAATAAACCAGATAACACACAGAGGGTTTACAAGTTGTTTACTAAACTGGTGATATAGCCTTAATATACAAATGATTACAGTCACTATTCTGTACAGATCACTACAGTGTATTCCTCTTGAGACTTCGAACCTTTGACCAGCATCCCACCCTTCCTACACCTTCCCCCCTATCCTGCTAACCACTATTCAGCTCTTAACATCTACGAGCTGTTTCTCTAGAGTCCACATGTGACTGAGATCATGTGATATCTATGACTGGCTTATTTCACTTGACATGCTGTCCTCCAGGTCCATCTATGTCATCAAATGATATAATCCCCTTTTTTTTCAAGGCTGGAAACCACTTCACTGTCTCTGTGTATGCATTTGCCTTACCCACTCACAGGGAATGGAAACCTAGGTCGCACTGTATCTGAGCTGCTGTGGGAGATGCTGGGCATAGATCTCTCTCCAGCGGTCTTAATCTGAACTTGCCTTCATCTGTAATCCTCTTCATGATCAAACAAATGCTTTGGTCATAGTCCTATTAAGACCATTTGAGTTTTCACTTCACAGTTTGGATTTATCAGATAATTTTACTTGAACAAAGTAAAAGGATTTCCCCAGGAACTTCATTGTGAAATGGTTTAGTTTCCTCCTGTATCTGGGATACTATAGAAACCTACTTCATCCAGTATAAAATAATAAAGAAATGTATACTAGAAACAATAAGAAGAAAAAAATCATTGTAATTTTAGAAATGTCATTAGCAAACATTGTCCCCAGGGTCTGAGGGGGGATCTAATCTAACTACTGATGAACAGTACAGTGTTCTACTGTCTTGGAAAGGGTAATTGCTCAGGTATGAAGATAACGGTCATCTGAATACTATGTTCCATTGAGATGAATGAACTATTTTGATTTTATTTAAATACACATCTGTGTGTATTTAACCAGAGGTCCTATGGTAAACACAGAACAACTTTCTTAAATGTTTTAGGACTCTATGCTGTTTACTTTTGGGCTTGTTTAGTTCTTGTTAACTTTTTAAACACAAAGTATGGCAAATCCCCATTTATTCTGTGTAGACCGATCTGGCTATGAGCTGGCAATCTCCTGCCTCGGTCTCCTATGTGCTGGAATTGCAGGTGTGTTATGCACCAGCAAGCATGGCTCTGTTTACCTTTTTATCAGGAATCTCATTCCAACATGGACTGGCCCTCTTATCATGATCAAAACATCTCAGTATTAAGCTTATATTAAGTCTACTGAGCTTAATACAGGATATACACACTACAGTGTGGCTGGTCTTGTATGAGCAGTGGAACAGACGTGTCACAAAAGTTTACTTTGTAATAACTGATGTTTGTAAGCTGCTACTTCATCTGCGAAGAAAATAGCTGTTCTTTTAAAAATTAAACTCTGTACTGTACTAGTCTATTCCCCTCCAGTATAAAGAAAGACTGAAGGTCACGTCACACTGAACAGCTGTAGGGAAGTACTCCAGTCCAGAGCTGCATTCCCAGCTCTCATTTGTCCTGGTATCAACAGATACCACAGTGTTCAGTCAGAAAGAGCCATATGTAACTTCTACATAATTACACACGGAACAAGATGCCTGATGGGTGAAGATTTACCTAGAAAAACAATGGAGCCATGAAATGGAGCCATTTCAATTTCTTGGCTCTTACAGGATCTCACACATCATTTCATGAGCTTGGTCACATGGTGTCCCCATTCTAACTGGCTGCTCTCAGCGACTCTCATGAGCAGAACATAAAAACACTGACTCTCTTATTGGAAGGGTGGTAATTAGATTCTTCTTTGTGACTTCCTGTCCATCCAGAAGATGCTCTCCTTAGGCGGGGTACATTTTTCTTTCTCCAGAAATAAGGATAGTGTGGCAAAAATATTTGTGTGACAATAAACCAGACAGAAGTACAAGTGTTGGAGGAGAAATGTGGCGTTTACCAACAGCTTTGGGGAGTTGAACACTCAAATGATGCAGTCCATCACGTGGATCTGAAGCGTGTCAATGTCGGGCAGGACCTCCCCACACTTGGGGCACGAGTGAATCGGAATACTGCGAGGCTGCTGCCCGTGTTGCCAGCTCATGTCCTCGGCTCCTGGGAGGAAACAAGAAATGACATGTGCCGTTAGTCAGCTCCATCTCAAGAGCATGTCGGCCTGGACTTAGTAATGGATGGTTATAATGTACGAATTAAAAATCAGACTCACATAGGGTACAAATGCATTTGGGTCACTAATGGAAACCATTACTGTGAACACAGAGAAGTCTAAACTAGTGTTTGTTTCTTAAATCGCACCTCAAGTTCAAGGTCTGTGAAAGCATAGTTCCACTTCTAGGAACAGGACGAGACATGGTCTACTGAGACTGAAATGCACAAGAGAGTAAGACATAGATGAGGGTATAAACCAAAGAGGGGACGATGAGAGAACTGGGGAGGGCTCTTCTTGGAAGGACATGCTTTTCTCAGAAGCAGACAGCAATCTCTTTATTCAGTTGATGGAGAATCCCCCAGGACTGTAAAGTACTGCTCTGTGCTGGGCTATCCATGAGATGTGGAAGCCAGGTGGAGATGTAGCAGATACAGCCTCAGGCTCCAGGGGTCCCACAGGATTGAGGGCCCTTGGTGCTGCAGCCAGGCCCTGTTCTGTTAGGTACGAAGCACCTTTCCAGTGGCTCCTGTACTGATCTCAGGTGCAGCACAATTACAGGGCTGTGGACCTTTAGAAGGTGGCAGTAGGTCACTGCAAGTGTATTTGGGCTCAAGGGTACCCTGATGCTGACCTCTGGCCTACTGTGAGCAGCCTCCTCTTTCCACATGTTTGCACTGTCATGCTGCTCGTTACAAAACATATTTGAAATGAATCCCAACCCTAAATAGATCTTCTGATCAATAAACATTCCATTGATGCTGTCAAGGGCTTCTGCTTCCGGGGCCTCTCTGTGACCTGACCTGTTTGGAATAAACGTTTGACTTTTTAGTCTTAGCTGACTAGATGGCTCAGCTCCCGAAGTGTCTTGTTTTTATTTTTTTAGTAAGACCAAAAAAAGTCCTTTAACATTTGTTTTCTTCAAAGTACATTACTTAAATTTATGATATGCAAGGTTAATAACAGATGGCTTGTGGCAAACAAATTTAAGACATTTATTGATGCATTCGTACTACCGAGGGTCATACTAGGGCCTTAGACATGTTAAGCAAGCATGCTACTACTGAAGCAAGAGGTTTGTGTAGGGGTGGGTAAGTTGTATAGATGTCTGTATGCACATGTGTGTGTGTGGACATGCTCACCTGTGTATACACACGTGGAGGCCCCAGGTTGACTTGTAGTTATCTTTATGTTATGCCATTTTTTGAGACAGGCTAGCCTTCACCTACTGATGCTGAAAATGCCCCTGGTCAATAGTATGTCTGGCCCTGGGCTCTGTCCTTTGCATGCTCCAAGGATGCATATGTTTACTGTTTGGATTTATTTTGTGATTTAGGATTTTTGTCTTGTTTTTAATCGGTATATACTCAGATGTGTAAAAGAGTTATTATTTTTTATTCATGTGTGCTATGTGTGTTCAGGTGCTTGCAGAAACAAGAAGGGGGAGTCAGATCCCCTAGAGCTGTAGTTACAGGCAGATGTGAGCTGCCTATGTTCTAGGTGCTGGGAACTGAACTTGGCCCTCTGGAAGACCACGGAGTATTCATCTCTCTTGTTCCTTTATCAATGCATATTCATTATCAAAATAGTGGGTTTCATTGTGATATGTTCATATATGTATACTAATCTTTGATTGATTGATTTCTTTTTAATTAATTAATTTATTTATTTATTGGGATAGACTAGCCCAGGCTGGCCTGGATTTCTCAGTCTTCCAGTCTCTCATACACGAGGGTTACGAGTCACAACACTTGGCTGCTAAACTTATTTTTACTTGCTTTCCTATAAGAAGACCTTGCTGGGGGCTGGAGAGACGGCTCAGTGGTTAAGAGCACTGACTACACTTCCAGAGGTCCTGAGTTCAAATCCCAGCAACCACATGGTGGCTCACAACCATCTGTAATGAGATCTGATGCCCTCTTCTGGTGTGTCTGAAGACAGCTACAGTGTATTCATATATAATAAATAAATAAATCTTTAGAAGACCTTGCTGGGGGGCGTGGGGAGGAGGGACAGACAGGAAATACAAAATGACATGCAGATGTGCATGACTGTGGATGTGGTGTGACTGTCTCTCCTGTAATGATGGACGATAAATAACCTGTGAGTTAAAATAAGCCCTCCCCTTGTCTTCTTATCAGAGCAACAGAAACCAAAGCAGAACAGACTGTGAAGGCCCCTTAGGCTGGTCTAGTACTTGGGAAACTTTTTTATGTCTGTGAAGTTTAAGATGACATCTTGTTACAGTAGAGCACTGCCATTAACATTTTTCCTAGCTATGTTAGCTCTTTGAAATTTTTTTGTATGAAAAATCAAGAATAATAATTCCCCTTCGATAACTTAGTATAAATTACAGAACATTGTTACCCATGTACTGATACCACCACATAATAAAATCTAGCACTACACAATTCTTCAGACCTGGACTTGTCTAGCATTTCATGAGAATCTAGCATCACAAACAAAATAAAGTGAAGCAAACCCTCCCAGTGAAGGCAAACAGAGGTCCAGGATGAGTTGGAGAGGGTGATTCGGATCAGCTAACAGTGCTGTGGTACTACCTGGCTGGTGGAGAGTCTGGGCTGAATGAAATGAGAGGCTATCAGAACTGGGATTCTGGGGAAACAGTATTGACTGGTTTAATTAAGGAGTCGTTCTCTACAATGTAACCTGAAACCCTAGCTCATAGGTGACTCACCTCTTTGAAACGCGTAAGCCTGCTGGTCAGAGTCACTGGTTCTTCTTGCCCCATGCCGGCACTGCATTTCCATCAGGGACTGCCTGCTGGGATCAAAAGCAAGACACCTGTGATGTTCTATAGCCCAGCAACAGGGCACCTGGCAAGCAGCCAACAGAAGGGTGAGCTTGGGAAACAAGTCAAAAACACAAGGCTGAACACAACACTGATTGACCCTGTCTGAGGATACAGAGCAGGGCTGAGTGCTTGCCTAGCGTCCACAAGGCGCTGAAACCCTCAGTACTATACAACAAAGTAACCACCCAGAACACAAGACTAACTGGGTTTTTAGCTACTAGTAGTACCAGGACAGAATGTGATCAAGACACTAAGTTGGGCTGTATAACCCAACTCTACTTTTTTTCTTCTTTCTTTCTTTCTTCCTTTCTTTTAAGATGTATTATGTATACAGTGTTTGCCTGCATATTCACCTGCCACAAGAGGGCACCAGATCTTGCTGGGAACTGAACTCAGGACCTCTGGAAGAGCAGCCAGTGCTCTTAACTGCTGAGTCATCTCTTCAGCCCCCTCCCCCCCCTTTTTAATGACATTTTTTTTTTTCCTGTGTAGCCCTGGCTGTCTGGAACTTGCTTTGGAGACTCAGGTGTCCACCTGTCTCTGATGCTCAAGTGCTGGGATTAAGGACCTGTGCCACCACTGCCCAGCTACCAAACTCTTTATTGATAGCAAAGTAGGTCAGAGAAAGTGGCAAGACATTTCTGGATCAAGACATTACAAAGCAATTAAATAGAACAAATTATTTCATTTGTTAAGAGAAAAAACTCCTCATTTATAAAAAGAAATGAATTAAATCTGCATCAGAGTTCACAATCATATAATATAAATTAAATTGCAGAACAATATCTATAATGATCATTTTGTAACTTAAACACAGAAAAAAAAGTTAGTATTATCTTCCTTAAAAAACACCATGTTGGGAGCTGGAGAGATGGCTCAGCAGTTAAGGTTACTTATACCCTAACAGATGACCTGAGTTTGGTTCCCAGCACCCACATATGACATGTTCATGACAGTCTGTGACTCCAGTTCAGGGGATTGCATGTCCTCTTCTGACTTCTGCTGGCATGAGGCATGCATGTGCTATACATACAGATATGCAGGCAAAGCACTCACACATAAATAAATCCAAAAAGTTGGTTAAAAATATAATGTAGGGATTTGTGCACATATTGATATGTAAAATTATAATGCAGATGCATGGTTACTTATCAAATTCCTGTTTTTACAAAGTAGGGGGACAGGGGTGTACTTAAGTGTGACAAATAGAGACCAGCTTTGGCCATGACTCCTTTTAGATCTTTGATAAAAAGGACTTGGGGCGGGTGCAATCGCTGAGCTGGGAATGGCATTTCTTGACAAGCCTGAGCTCACTCCTTGGGACCCACATGGCAGAAGAGGAGAACTGATTCCTGCAAATTGTCCTCTGATCTCCACACACAAAATCATGCCAGGCATCCATACCCCACACATAAGTAAATATAATCACAGTTGTTTAAAGAAAATTAAAAAAATACTTGAAGCAAATGAAAGAAACAGTTCATTTAGAATGGCATATATAATACTTGTGTTATTTTATTTTCCATTTAAAATATTTTGAGACCACTCCCAATAATTTTTAGCCAGACATATGGCATATGTCTATAGTCCCAAGTAGCACTCCAGAGACTGAGGCAGGGGGACAAGGTTGAGGCCTGCATGCAGTAGCACTTTCTAGACCAGTCTGGGTTAAAGGGTATGACTGGTTTTCAAAACATACACACACACACAAACAAACAAAGTAAGAAAGTAAATGTAAAATTTTAAAGTTAGTATTTGGTAAGTATTTTTTTTAAGACAGCTAATTTAAAAGCCAGGTAAGATACTGAGACACAGAATGTTATTTTCACAGAGTGTGCTAAGGACACGGCCTGCACACCATCCCTCCGCAGCGCTGGCCTGTGTAAGGACACGGCCTGCACACCGTCCCTCCGCAGCGCTGGCCTGTGCGCCCATCTCCTTGCTTTCTCTTACCTGCCTCCGTCTTCAAACTCATTGTTCTCTTTCAGCAAAATTGCAAGCTGCAAGGCCAGCTGTTCCTTTTCTTCATGAATCTTCTCTCTTGCTGCTCTCTCAGCATGAAAATCTGAACAGTACACCTCCATCTGTGAGAGGGAAAAGTTAAGTTACCATGGAGATGAGCATAGATTCAGGGATGCTCTGACCCTGACTTGAGATCAGGGTCCATGCTGCACCTGTAGGCAGGCTTTGGGAATGACTGAGACTTCTGTCGTGAATAGGTATAAGTCAGGGCTTTCCAATGCATTAAACAGCAGATACAAGTTGTGTGTATGTGGGTGCTTTAAATGATGGGGACCCTCAAACTGAGCTGAGGCAAAAGGCTTAAGGGATGCATGAATCATGAATTCAATAAAATATTCTTTTTAACAATTGTATTCAGGAATAACAGATAGCAAATGGCTTACCAGAATGATGGTCTTAAGCTACGTTTAAAATAAACACACACACATTAATTGCTGTGTTCCAGACATGTGTGAGGTCTTATCTAGGTGGCTTCTTTTACCTCATCAAAAGTCCTCAGAATCAGCATGGGTGATGGAGGCAGGGGATTCACATGTTTGTTCAGGTCTATGTTCATGTCTGTCAAGTCCTGGGCTACACAGCAAGACTCTGTCTTAAAAAGTTCTGGAAATATAAACTTGTCACTTTTCTAATGAGCTTAATAGTCCTTAGTCTTAGGAAAATCTGCCTGAGCATGGTAGCACAGGCCTGTAATCTTAAGTGTTCCACAGGCAGAGGCAAGAGGATGTTGAGTTGTAGCCTAGCCTGGGCTACATGGCAAGACTGTATCGAAAAAGAACTGTTTAGTGACCTCAGTGTTTGAACCTAGATAGAGGCCTTATTTTCCTGGACTCCTGCATGTATCAAGCCACCTCCTGTATACGTGGGGTCACCAGCCCACTGTGGGTGGCTCCAGTGATCTTCATGTCCTGGTAGAGAAATTCTTCTGTGGTCTATCCCCACAGTAGGGCCAGCCCTATTAGTATACATACCAAGATGCTACAGAGGGGTGGGAGTAGACTCTGAAACTACATCATTAGGCACTGTGGCTCACGCCTTATTTTCTTCTGGATCACTTGCTTTGGAGGAGGCCAGCTGCCATGCCATGTATCTGGAGAGGCTCACATAAGGAGGCCTTCTGACAGTCATGTGACTAAGTCACCTTGGAAATGGCCTGCCAAGTCCATTTCTGGTACAGCCTCATGAGAGACTCTGAGCCAGAACACCTTTACTGAGCTGTTCCTGGATTCTTCAGTCATAGAATCTGTACTTGAAATGACAAATGTTTGTTTCTATTTTAGCTGCTATTTGTCACATAGCAGCTTAATTTGTCACATAGAAAAACAGAAAACTATTATCAGAATAATATTATTATTCTCAAGTTATTCTCAAATTATAACATAAAACAATTTCCCAGTGAATGAAGGTGATCTGAACATTGTTTAAAATCTTCTTTTGCTGTATTTTTTTTAAAGACTTATTTATTTTCATGTGCATTGGTGTTTTGCCTGCATGTATGCTCGTGTGAGGGTGTCAGGTCCCCTGGAATTGAAGCCACAGACAGCATGAGCTGCCGTGTAGGTGATGGGAATTGAACCCACATCACCTGGAAGAGTAGCCACTAAGCTATCAACCACTCAGCCATCTCTCCAGTCCTGTTTTGTTTTATGTTTTTGAGGCAATGTCTCTCTATATAGTCCTAAGTGGCTTGGAGCTCAATATGTAGCCCAGATTCACTGCAGACTTGTGGCCATGTGTTTGTCGGCCTTCTGAGTACTAAAGATGGCACACATATATCACTGTACTGGGTGCCGAGGTGTCTTTTTTTTTTTTTAAAGATTATTATTTTGTGTATGTATATGTTCTTGTGTTCATGTGTGCAATGTGTGCAGTACCTGCAGAGGCCAGAAGAGGGTGTTGTGTTCCCTGCAACTGGAGTTACAGGGGTTTGAGAGCTGCCTGACCTGGTTGCTTGCTGGGAACTGAAGGTAGTTTTTCTGCAAGAGCTGTACATGTTAAGCCACCTCTCCAGTCCCCTGGTGCCAAGTTTTCAGCTTATCATGTTTAAAACTCACCTTTGGATTTCATGGCTTTGGGCTATATTATCTATTAGTGTTTAAAGGAAATAAAATCTAAGCCTCAAATAGTAGTACACACCTGCTTTCTAGCATTTGGGTAGCTAACATAAAAGGGTCATGAGTTTGGGACCAGCCTGTGTTACATAGTGACATCTTGTCTCAAAAAACTATAATTAGCAAAAGATATGATATACACACACACACACACACACAACACACACACACACCCCATTTTAGGAGGGTTCCTTCATTTCTGGGTGGTGCAGCATCTTATGGTGCATGGTGAATAATCACAGTGGAGACTCACTTCTGTGATGTGGAGTCTGTGCTATCCATCTGTGCAGATGCCAGAGTTGCTGAATGAATGAGAGCATCTACCCAAACCAACATCCATGCACAGTCATGACACAGACTCAAGACCACAGGGCAGAAAACCCGGCAATGTGGGCTACCCAAGGGAAGACAAGGCTCCAGGGGACAGGATCCATGATGCTCCTGTAGCAATGACATTAAAGCCACAGGCACAAACTCCACTCTGTGGGGTTTGTCCACAATGAGCAGCTGGTGCTAATGAGCCCTCAGGTAGCATAGAAACCCTGGCATCATTTTTTAGTAAAAAACACAAGGATGTAAAGACATTGGGGTCCTCCTGAGAGAATTCTGGTTATGTATTTTGTAAGATAAACTGGTAGTGTTTATTTAATTTTAAAATAAGTAATGTACGGGGCCAGAGAGATGGCTCAGAGATTAAGAGCACAGACTGCTCTTCCTGAGTTCAATTCCTAGCACCCACATGGTGATTTACAACCATCTGTAATGGGATCTGATGCCCTCTTCTGGTGTGTCTGACAGCCACAGTGTACTCATATAAATAATTAAATCTTTAAAAAAATAAGTAATGTACTTAATGATGAAACATCCCCCCCACTCTCTCTGTCTCTCTCTCTCTCTCTCCCTCTCTCTCTCTCTCTGTGTATGTATGTATGTATGTATGTGTGTATGTACATCTGTGTGTGTGTGGGTTCATATATGAACATGTACATGGAAAGGCTAGAGGACAACCTCAGATGTCCTCAGGTGCCATCCACTGTGGTTTTTGAGATAGCATCTGTCACTGGCCTGGAACTCCCCAAGTGTGCTAGACTGACTGGCCCGGGAATTCAGGGATTTCTGCACTGGGATCACAAGTAAATGCTATCACACTTGATCTTTTTTTTTTTTTTTTAATTTGTGTCTAGTATTTCTATTTAATAGCAACTTTTAAGAAAAAGACCTATATGAAGCTAGGCATGGTAACATGCCTGTAATCCTAGTATTTGGAAAGTAGAGGCAGAGAGATCAAGGGTTCAAGGCCATCCTTGGCTACATAGCAAAATTATGGCTAGCTTGTTTTTTGAGGTCCTGTTTCAAAAAAACAAAACAAAACAAAACAAAACAAAAACCAAAACAAACAAACAAACAAACAACCCCCCCCCCCAAAAAAAAACCCCACTTTCCCCAAAACACCATTTATAATAAACAGTATAAACTAAAAAATACATGCAGTACTATTACTGGGGAGTCTAAGACTGGCCTTGAACTATTAATTTCCCTGCCTTTATTTCAAGTGCTGAAAATTCAGGTGTGCACAACCATGCCTGGCTTTCATTTAAAAGTTTGGTTTTTTTTTTTGTTTTTTTTAAATAAAAAATCTATTGGGTAGGCATGGTGGTACAGATCTTTAATCCCAGCATTTGGGAAGCAGGGGCAGGCAGATCTGTGAGTTCAAGGCCAATCTGGTCTACAGAGTAAATTCTAAGTCAGCCAGAACTAAACAGTGAGACTATCCACAAAACGGAACAGAACAAGAAGAAAAGAAACTGGTAGAAAGAACACAAAAAAAATCACTGTTATGTTAAGCACTGCCATCCTCACACTTGAAATCTGCACAGGGTATCGTCACTCAGCTTAGGTTCTAGACAACATCTCACCTGAGCCCTGAGGACAGCCATGGTCTCCAGGTCCTCCTCCTGCTTAGCGATGGTCTGCTTCATCTCGTCCATCTGGAGCTGTTTGGATGCCAGCGCCCGCTCCGCCAGCTCCAGCTTCTCACTGAGCTCTTGTAGCAACATCTTGTCCACCTTTTCCGCCTGAAAAATATAACTTCATTCTAGGAATGGCTTGGAACTGATGCAGCCTATTTTAGGAAAATACAAAGGTTTACACTTAAGAACTGTCAGCTCCAGCCTGTTACTCAGCTGTGACAATTCATTCAGGAAGTTGTAGTCAATTGTGACTTGGCAGTAATCATTTCCTCAGCTAAAACACTTTCTTTTTCTTTTTCTTTTTTTTTTCCAAAGGGTTTATTCAGGGCAGAGGGCAAAGATAGGGAGAGAAACGGGAGAAGATGGTGGAGAGAGAGGAGAGAAGTGGAGGCTGGCCATGACCACGTGGAGAGAGGAGGAAGGGAAGGGAAGGGGAGGGGAGGGGAGGGGAGGGGAGGGGAGTGTAGGGAAGGAAGAAGGGAAGGGAAGGGGCGAGGGGACAGAAGAGAAGCTAGAGGCAAGAGAGTAAGAGAATAAGAGCATTCTAAAATACTTTCTTAAAAGGTAACACTGAGAATAGCACTGTTCCCAGTAGTTCCCAGTAGATGAGTTCAGGTCTCAGCACACATCAACACCAGATAAAATGGGAACAAGCCTACTCTGATGAGAGTGAGACATGAATACTACTATTTATCTTGTTACTTTGTAAACATGTTTACATTTAAAAGGGATACATTAAAAAGAGATAAGGTCCTTGGTGAGCATTGCAGCTCACACCTTTAATTCCAGGAATTTGGAGGCAGCAGGGGCAGGTAGAATTCTGAGTTCAAGGCCAGCCTTGTCTATGTAGTGCGTTCTAGGTTAGCTAAGGCCACTAAAGACTCTTTCTATAAGTAAATAAATAAATAAATAAATAAATGAGTTTTTTTGAAGCTATAGGTTTAAGAGAGTTATAAAATTCTTTTCTTTTTTTAAATGAAGTTAAAAAGGCCTGGGAGATTATCCAGTCACTAAAGTGCTTGCTGTGTGTATAAGGACCTGAGTTCAGATCCTCAGCGCCCATCTAAAAGCCAGATATGATGACTCTTGCTTGCAACCCTAGTCCTGGGGATCCAGAGACAGGAGGGTCCCTGGTTTGCTGGTCCGATAGCCTAGCTAATTGGTAAGCTTCAATAAGAGAGAGCCTCAACTAAGGTGGCCTGTCTCCAAAACTACCAACCATCAATTTCTGGCCTCCACATGCACACGCCAATATGTATGTGGACATCACCACCTACACCCCATCCCTTCTGGAAAAGGAAATGAAAACATGGGCTTATGGCAGAGGCCTGCAATTGTAACTACTCAGGAGACTGAGGCAGTAAGGCTTGCAAGTTCAAGGTCTGCTCAAGTAACTCTGAGACCCTGTAAGAGGCAAAGGCAGAGGAGGGTGTAGCTCAATGTTAGAACATTTGCCTAACAAGCAGGAGGCCCTAGGTTTATTCCCTGTTATAGGAATGAAGGACTAAGGAATATCCCCTGAAGGTGGGAAGGAGGCAGTAAAAAGGAGGGGGAAGGGGAACAAAGCATATTTATAAGAATATTTATAGCCTCATAAATGGAGACTTAATTCAAGGACTCCATGGTCTGTAGATTTTATACCATGTTGAACATTGTTACTAATTTAAATTAAATGCTGTAAACCCAGGGTTCCAAGTTCACTTCCAGCAGGCAAGATGCCCTTGTACAATCTCATTCAGCAGATGGCCATAGCCAGTTGTTTCCCTGTACACTGTGGACAAGGAGCCCGGGCTCTCAGCTCTCCTACAGATACACCCTCGGGAAGAAGGAAAAGTCCATGCCCTGCCTGGTTGACATCAGCACCCTTCATACACAAGTCACGTTTTATATACAGGCCCAGAGCGAAAAGCTATAACTCTGTTGCAATTGATAAACTGCAAAGTGATTTTTGAAAGTAGACTTAGTTGAGGAACTATGCAATGTTTTTTTGTACATATAATATTCAATGGTTCCACCCCTCCGGGCTATGGAAGTACCTTTTTCTATAAATACCTGTTGTTTGGTTAGTTCTTCAATTGTTTTCAGCGCTTTGTTATGTTCTTGAAGGAGCTTGTTGTGCGTTGCCTGCAGAGTGGCCAACCTGGATCTATTAAAATATGATATTAAAAAGGGAATAATGAGGGAAATATCACAGAAACCCATCCTCTTGTCTCCCTAACAAACTTTGAAAACTCAAGTAGAAAAATCTCTGTTTTTTTCATCCCACCAATGTTTAGCTCTCACCTTGACACAACCTGAGAAAAGTGTCAGTGAGAGACTGCTTTCATCAGGTTGGCTTGTGGGCCTGTCTGTGGAGGACTGTCTGGATTGCCTTTACCCATGTAGGTTGATCTGCCACATGAAAGCGAGTGACACCCGCCAGTCCCTAGCTTAAGGTTCTAGATTATCCCAGTACTAGGGTGTAAGAGGCAGGTGGATCTGTGAGTTTGAGGCCAGCTTGGTTTACAGAGTGAGTTCTGAGACAGCCAGTGATACACAGAGAAATCCTTTCTCAGAAAAACAACAAAACTAAACAGTGGAAGTAGGAAAAGCAAGCTGAGAACTAAGCATTCACTTTTCTCTGCTCTTGCCTGAGGGCATGATATGAATGGCAGCTTCCAGCCCAGGGCACCTTGACTTCTTCCCAATAAGGGGTGGGACCATGGACTATAAGCTAAGATAAACTCTCTGTCCACTAAGTTGCTCTGTCAGGCTATTTTATCACGTAACAGAAATGAAACTACAGCCACCACATATCAGCATTTTTCTTATTCTCAAAGAAAATGGTATCTTCCAAAAGACTGTCTTTCTCTCAAAAGATAGAATAAAAATGATTTTCATATTTTTGCTAAAATACAACTCAAAAATTTAATTCTCCTCAGGAGTCTCCTAGATGTCTAGTCCAGATGGCAAAACGGATTTTATGCCACGACTCTCATTCAGGCCCTCCCTCCGGTCTGTATTTGGCCAGCTGTCCTTCCCCTTCTGGGTGAGCTGCTGCCCTGCCCCTGCGCATGCCCGAGCCCACACTCACTTCTCCTCCTCTGTCTTAGCCTGCTCCATCTTGATTTCGGAGCGCATGCTCTCCACCTGAAGCTCTAACTTCTTGTTACTGTAAAGGAGCTCTTGCTTTTCATTCAGCTCTGATGGGGTTGCAGAGTTCTTCCTTTCCAGAGCCTGACACCTGAAAAAGATGAAGATTCCATGACGTGTTGTCACTCTCCCTGACTTCCACACAAATCCTCAGAAGGACATCAAGCACAGAGTGTGGTAGGGCTACAGGAATTTTGAAGGCAAAATAAAGACTTTGTTCTTTGCTTCCTGTTTGCTTTTGTTTTGCTTCCTCCCGCCATGTGGTAGGACATTTTAAATATGGTGGAATTTTAACCCAACCTGGTAGTGAACTAAAGTGCATCTTACAGCAAAATCCCTGGGCACCCTTCAGAATCTAAGGTCTGTCCGTTACAGACTCTGATTTCTAATGAAGATTCAGTAAGAGAAAAGGAAAGCCCCTGAGCATCTCTTAAGAGACCAGAAAGTCAACTTGAGTGGAATAATATTAAAAACCAAATTATAGCTGTGTGCAGGGTGTTAATGCCAAGTACTGTAAATCTCTCACATCACAATGCTATATGTAGAGTGTAGCTCTGCACAAGGGTCAGAGGCTGGTGCTCTTCACAGCACAAATCCTCTCGTGCCCTCATGACTTGTGTGACAACGACTTTAGGAGTACACACCAACACTAAAGTTTCTTTTTTCTTAACCATATATATATATATCATGTCTTTGTTTTTGTTTTAGTCAGTAATACAGGAACAAAACTGTTTTGATATAGTAACACACTTAATAAATCATGAAATGAAATTAAATGAGTTACTTTTCTTGAAGTCTTTTCTTCATCAGCTCAGCCTCACTGAGTTTTGTGTGCGCCTCTTGAAGCTCCTTAAACAGGGAGGTCATCTGAATGTTCAGTGTTTCCACTTCATTTCCAACCTGTCAGTGTCAGACATTCACGTGAGATGGATCCTTAGGAGATGAACCTTGTGTGAGAAGACAGTGTAGACCACTAGCATCCAGCTAACACTAATACCCTAAGTAGACTTGCTCTATGTAAGACATCCCCAAGTGCCTATGTGAAAAGCAATCTTCTGAGCAAGTTTCTGTTTCCATGTAGCAGATTCACTATCAGTCCAAGCATGCATGGTAAAGGATTTACTGTTGAACCTGGCCCTACTCATGCTTCCGGGATCATAGGTCACCAGGTTAAAGTGCAACCTTATTCATGTGGGGGAAAGACTCAGAGCCTATATTGCCTTGCCTGCTCCTAGCTTATGCAATTACTTCTGTTATCTGGCTCTTTTCCTGGAAGCCTGCCAGTTGTCAATTTGCATATGAGTTTTATAAGAGCTTAGAGACGTCAATACTTTCCCATTAACTGTTGGTCCATTTCAGTTAATGGTGTGCTGTTCTGGCAGAGTACTCTCTTCATCTAAGTTCATCCCGTTCTCATGCACCTCCCCCACCCCTCTGTTCTGTTTTTGTAGCCAGGCTGATCTGGAACTTGCTATGTCGCATATGTTGTCCTTAAATTTGAAATCCACCTGCCTCAGCCTGCCAGGCACTGGAATCATAGGGGTATGTGCCATTGTGCCTGTCTTCAAAATGTTCTCCACTGTCTTAAAGTAGGGACTCAGAGCCAGAGAAGCTGTTGCATGTCTGTAATCTTAGCACACAAAGGAAGGACATAGCCAATAGTGGCGCGTGTGTATGTGTGTGTGTGTACATGTGTGTATGTGTGTGATGTGTGTGTGTGTACTGATTAAGACATGAACAGCCGGGCGGTGGTGGCGCACGCCTTTAATCCCAGCACTTGGGAGGCAGAGGCAGGTGGATCTCTGAGTTCGAGAGTTCGAGGCCAGCCTGGTCTACAGAGTGAGTTCCAGGACAGCCAGGGCTACACAGAGAAACCCTGTCTCGAAAAAACCAAAAAAAAAAAAAAAAAAAAAAAAAA